CTTGTATTATATATTTAACTGTATATGATTTAATAGTTCATTCCTTGTTATATATCTAATTATCTTTATAAATAAATATATTAAATTATCATCAATTTGGTTTTATCTCTCTAGAGAACCCTGTCTAACACAGCCCCTAATTAAAAAAGTTCTCTAGAGAGTTAAAAGGAATAAACTCTGGATTATAATTTTTATAATTTCCTATTATCAATAGATACATGGTATAATGGAAAATGTCAATAAAACTGAACCACCAATGCCTACCTCCTCCCTAGTGAGCAGTATATTAACTAGTGGTCCTGGCTTTCCCAGTTGTTAACTGTTTTTTAGTAAAGCAGCCCATACGAATTCTACGGCTTGCTACTTTCAGAGCAGGAGCATATTCCACATGTATCTGACAAGTAGTTTTTAAGGTAGTACTGAGATTACTTTGTAAAAAAATGTAAACAAACTACCCCGTTCTTGGAGTCACCAACCGACCCACTAAAAAATTGAGGTTCAACTTTGTGTGCCCAAATCCTTGTGGCTAAAGAGAATGTATAACATTCACCACTTGCATTAATGGATCTTTGGATTCACTAACTGAAGTAATTGGATTCACTAGTTGAAGTAGTTGAAAAATTTCTAAGTAATCTTTTCTTAAGAGACCATTCTGTGTGTGCTCTGATTTCCCAATGTGGATACATGAAATTAAAAGCCAGAAATAGCATTTAGAGCATAAAAGGGAGAAACACTATTTTTCCTTGGCTTTGTCAATAAATCAATGCTATAAATTCTGACCCCCCGTGCTTATAAAATTACTGTCTCCTAAAAGTAATATAGCTAGTTAATAGACTTCATATACTTTAAGTAGTAAAAATTTAATGTTGCAAAGTGTTTTGAGCAAAAGTGTGAATTGTTTTCTAGGAAAATACATTATTTGCTGGCTGGGAATCCAGTCCTCCTTTATATTTCTATAATAATCGTTTTTGTTTCTTTCAGAGAAAGCTCGGGCAGAAGCTGGGTCAGCAAGAATGTCACTCCTTATATTGGTGTCCATTTTCTTATCTGCAGCTTTTGTTATGTTTCTGGTATATAAAAATTTCCCTCAGCTTAATGAGTAAGTATATGTTGACAGAAACTGAACATTCCTAAACATTTGTGGAGATGAAAGTGAATTAAAAATTAACCATATTTTAAGCAGCAGAGCTGTCATGGTGATTGTATCAGCCTCTTATAGCTGATAGTAACTCCATATCAATACTGTTATTAAATACTTAAAAAAATACTTTCTAAATATGCTTTTTGTTTTTAAGGTTTATCTAGCATTCATTTTTTAGTTAAAGCCTCATCTTTCAAATGGCTTTCAGTTTGTTTGCTTTTTTTTTGCCTAATCACAGTACATTTTTATATTGTGACCCTACACTTATTCCAGCCCACTTTCTTTTTCTTTTACTCTTTGCTTACTGTACATACATATGCGTACAAAACTACGTTTGTGTTTCGTTAAGCATTCCTTACCTTATTTTAGGTGATAATTTTTTTTATTTTCTAGACTATGTTCTGTCTCACACAGCATTCTTCACTATTCAGCTTGGCTCTATAATTCATTGCAGTGGCCATACAGAACTTATAAGCAATGCTCACAATTATGAGGTTTACTATGGAAGTTAGCAGGTTATAATTTAGGTGAGGAATGCTCAGAATACTGTTGTTCAGTCAGACCACATTTCAGAGTTTTTTCAGGCTGCTAATAAATGCCCAAAATGCATGCCAATCTGCTGTAAGCCTCTTTCCGAAGGTACTCTGCTCTAGCTCTGTGGCTCAATGTACCCAGCTCCCCAAATTAAGTGCCCAAGGGGTCCCCCATGCAGCCAGCCAGCCTCTTGCAAAGGTACTCAGCTTATTTGCTCTATGGGCTGACAGGTCTACCACTTTGTCTAGCACTCTGGCTCCTGGTTCTGCTACTGCTCCTCTGCCACTGCTTGTGTCATAGTTGCCTCCTATATTAAGGGGGTTCAGTGTGCAGGGACCTTGGGGTCCACAGGATACACTCCACTGCTGACTCTTACTGGTAGTGAGAATACCCCCTCCACCTCCAGGCTGGCTTCTGAGGTAGCTCATGTCATACCCAGCAGGATGGCAATCACAGTTAATCCTGTTAACAGTTACAGCCAGATTCGATCAGTGCCTCCCCCCCTTCTCTTACCTATACCCATCAGGAATAGGTCGTTTGGCAGGAGTTGCAGAAACTGTGGCTAGAAGATCTATCTTAAAATAATTCTCTATCCTGTATTTTAAATTGCTAGTAGTTTATTAACACCAATTCTTTAAAAAAATTTTTTTTTTTACTTAATTCAAGGATCGTTTGTTGGCCTTTAGGAGTGTTTTCTAGTCCAATCTGTTGGGGCACCACACCCTGGCCCCAAAGTTCACCTTCAGCATTCCCTGGGGACCTCGCTGCTCTGTTCCCTTGCTGTTCTGTTGCATCCCCTTAGTGTTTTGCCTCGGTGTGGTGGGATCAGATCAGGTGCATTTCCCACACTGTGTCTCTGGTGTTGTCCCCTGTAGGGCTGTGGGTCAGTGAGGGGCGTCATGTGGTCCTCTCTGTGGACTGGCTGCTCTAATTGGGATCTTCGTCCTCAAGTCCTGGTGGGCCAGGATGTGCTCCACTCTCTCCTCCTCCCCCTTGATCTGTACCCGTGTCCTCCGATCAGATATGTCCCTCTCCCACAGCTGAAGATTCAATGCCGTCCTTTGAAGTAAATTCTTCTGGGGGGAGGGGCAGGTGTCCACTTAGTATTTGGGACTGGGGCCAGACCCCTATTAACACCAATTCTATGTAACATATTATTATAAAGCTTTAATACTGTTTATTTTTCTCTCTGGATTTATGTCTATATATGTGTGTGTGAGTATATATGCAGGTATACATTTACTCCTTTAGTTTTTCAGTTGTACAAATTAGGAAAGCCAGTTTTCGTTTACCACCTATTTTATAGAACTTAGAAAGAAGTGTTCTCTTATTTCTCAACAGGGTAAGTTAAATATTTTCATGTAAACATACAGGCATAATATACATTGTAGGGTCTGAAATTTATTTGGCCTATCACCTCCTTTTCAGGAAAAAATTACTCAGCACCCCCCTGACAAAACTTTTGTACTACAGCTCATAATCAAAGATCAAGTGTAGGGATCTCCTTCTTGCAGGCTCTCCTTCCCCCAGGGGGTGGTGTTGGTACTTTGGGAAATACTGGTATGTGTGCATGTGTGTGTTTATTTAAAGCTTTGTAAGCAAGTGGTTATTTCCAAAAATGGCACCAAGAAATAAAGAGAATTGATCGAGCAAAGTGTTCAAGGTTTTTTTTCTTTTTTGGTGTGTGTGTGTGTGTGTGTGTGTATGAACTTAGAAGTGGAATATTACCAAAATAGTATAAATTGTGAATTCATTAAAAATATTTACTTCATTTTAGTTGAAATTGCTATTGACTATCTTAACATGAGGATTATCCAAATGATGTTTAAATATACTAACTTAAGTGATGCATTGCTTAGATTTGATGTAAAATTTAAACCGTTATTGGAATAAATTCTTTTAGTGTGAGTATTATATTACTTTCATTTGTCAGGCAAATGCCTCATGAAATTTCTTATTAAAATATTTTAAAACATAACCTACGTAAACTTTTTAACAATATTGGGAATTTAAAGTTAATATATTACTGTGAAAATATCAAATCATTTTGGATAAAACTATGTTTTAGACTTATACTTTGATATTAATTATGCTGGAAAAATTCTGTTTAAAGCTTTTTCATTTTAATTTTCTTTAGAGAAGAAAGAGTGACTATGAAGGTTCCAAGAGACATGGATGATGCCAAGGCCCTAGGAAAAGTTTTATCAAAATATAAGGACGCCTTTTATGTACAAGTACTTGTAGCTTACTTTGCTACATATATTTTGTATCCTTTTAATTTTAAAAGATTTTCTAGTTTTGTTCAAGAAAAAGATTTTAAAGGTCTGCTGTTTGGTGTTATATAATGTAACCTTTCCTTTTAAAATTTGATAATAATAGAGAGCAAGATTAAAAATAATATCAAACAAATGGGGAAAGTACTCCCTATAAACATATCTACTTAACTCAATTACCTTATCTTTATTACCCATTTTTGGGTGTATTCTGCTTATTTTACTGATAAATATTTCTTTTCTCTAGCCTCTTTAAAACAGATATTATATCCATGCCATAATTTTACAGTATATTTTGTTATTTTTAGAGTTGATATGTTTTTTCATTTCTTTGCTTTTATAAATACTGTGTTACAAATCTCTGGATTCATATAATATTTTTCTTCAATTGGAAGTATTCTTATGACAAGAATTAATGGCTGAAAGACCATGAATATTTTTAATAATTCTTAGTATATATTTCTTTGGTTTACATTAAGTACAATTTAATATGCACTTAATAAAGGAAAGTAGTTTTATTTTTTCTGCATAATTTCAAATGACATATGCTCTTAATTATTAACCTTCTAATCTGTGAGATAGTTTTAATTGTCATTTTGATTTTTAAGCTTTTATTCTAATTCTACCTTATTTTACAAGTCTTGGTTAATAGGACATCACCTCTTCATATAATGCAGATAAACATACTTTCAAAACCAGCTTGTACTTAGAAAAGAAATTAGTACTTTGTTAATCCTCAGTAATCATGCTTCCTTTTAATTATTGAACTTTGTTTGCTTTGTTGAGCTTTTGGACTAAAATTCTTCTATAAAATTTAATAGTATATCTTTTTGGATTTGAGTTGGAATACAAGGGGACTTCAAAAAGGTTTTGAAAAAACAATTAAAAAGTGGTAGAATATCTTTTTACATATACACACATGTAAAAAAACCCATTGCCATTGAAGTGGCATACGATTTGATGCATAGCGATATCCTATTTCCACAAAATTCTGTGTGTGTGTGTGTGTATGTACACGCACATATGTGTGTGCAGTTCTTACATAATATTTTGAGTATGTATAGTTAAAAAACAAAAATTTTGTGATAGTTATATTTACAAAAGCTTTTGTTGTTAATGTAAACAATTCCAGCAAATTAAAGTATGTTTTTTAATATAGGAAATGTGCCTTATGTAGGGACTTTTTTATTATCTTCTCAATTTTTTAGATAAAAACATTTGTGGGGGGGGGAATTTTTTTAATTGAAATAAAAAGCATTTGTGGGAAAATTTAAAGAATTAATTTTTTTGATAAATCATTTGGGGCAGCTGTTTAAAACTGATTTCTTTATATATAAAATATTGTAGGAAATCCATAGCTCCTAATTTTTTTTTTTTTTAAGGTTTGAAAAGTGTGAGTTTATTGGAGACTTTGAGCCTTTGGAAAAGCAATCCAAAGGACCCTTAGCTAGTCTAAGTGGCTGACAACTCCTATTTTTTCCATTAGCTCCAATTGTCTATCAGTGAAAAGTTAGGTTTGCAAATTATTTTACCTTTATATGCTTTAACCATAAATTGAAATAACCCCCTCTTTGTTTGACTTTTATAAGATTTTTGTAAACATTTTATGAGAAGTACAATTTGGATGTATTTAAGAAAGTCATATTTTTTCAGGGCCTTACTTTATTCCCGCCACAATGAAGCTTTCTCTTTCCATAAAGATATATAGTCTTGGAAATCCAAAGAGGGCAGTTCTACTTTGTCCTTCCTGTAGGGTTGTCGGAATTGACAAGACGGCAGTAGATTTGATTGTTGCTGTTTTTTATCCCTCCGACGTTGGCAGGAGAATGACAGAGGGATAAATGAGATGGCCCCTCATGGCCAACTAGCCAGTTAGCCTAAGTGAATTCTGGCCATTCCTGAGGTCCTAAGTGTGGTAGCCTGGTTGGCTTGGAAACCCGTTTTAGGGTTGCGTGAGTTGGAATTGACTGGATGGCTGAGTTTGTTTTCTCTATAGGTTTTAGTTGTCTTAATATACCACCCTTAGGAAAAGTATAACCAGTCCTGCCGTCGGGTTGAGTCTGAGTCATAGCAACCCTACAAGGCAGAGTAGAAGTGCTCCTTTTGGTTTCCGAGGCTATAAATCTTTATGAGAATAGAAAGCCGCATCTTTCCCCCTCAGAATGGCTGATGGGTTCAGACTGTTGACTTTCCAGTTAGCAGCCCAATACTTACGTAATCAATTATACAGCCACGGAATGAGTATATTAAATAAATTATTGGTTAATAAATATCAATTCAGGCTTTATTGCACATTGTTACCGTTTAATAATTATGTAATATTGTTCATATCACATTTTTTATTTTTTAATGATTGTTAAAATATTCTTATACTTTTGTTTTATTTACATTTTTGAATCCAAGTCTGAATGCTAAAAAGGAGATTTTAAGTTCAATGAACAAAAGGTAAAAGACTATTTAGGACAACGATTTTCAGCTAGAATAATGGAGGAAGGGTGGGTAAAAATATGTCTCTGTCATGCTGGCCAGAGCAGGTCTGCAGCAGAGCTTTATAAGCCACATATGGTTAGTAAGTGACCATTAGTCCACTTTAGTTGGATGTGTAGGGTGTGAGGGATACAGATAAAACAAGACTCATCAGGTGTTAATTGTTGAAGTATTCGCTCTACTTTCATATGTGAAATATTCCATAATAGATATTTTAAAATCCCAGAAATGTAAATCCCCCTTTTAAAATGAAGGCATCTAGCAGACATCTAGACTGTTTGAAACTGGTATTTGATTAGAGAAGTTGAGTCAGAGGTAGAGAATTAGGAATTACCAGTATATGTGACTGAAATCTGAAACCACAGAAATTACCACATTTATCAAAGGGGGTGGAAGAATATGTAACACAGTGTTAGAGAAAACCTAATTTTGAGGGATTGGGAGCAAGAGAGGAGAGCACAAATAGAGTCCACTACAGCCTAAGTTTCATGCGAGGGATGTTTAATCCAATGCAGGGTTTCAGGAGAGTGGTGGGGAGTGTAAGCTAATTAGAAGGGGACAAGGAGAGAATCTCTTGTGAGGTCAGCGAGATATAGTAGTTGAATAGGATACCTGGTTGAGGAAAGCCTAATAATTATTCTAGTTTTGACATCCAGAGTGATTTTGTAGAGGAAGAGTCCTGTGAAAGAGCAAGAAGTTAGAGGTGAAAGACCCCAAGAGAAAGGAGGAGGAGATTGAAAGAACAGGAGTAAATTGGGACAGGGGTGGGGTGGGGGTATTAATGGGTAAAGCTAGGAGTAAGGAGAGATGAGAAATGTACTTCGTCTAACTCGTAAGTACATCAGACATCAAGAAGTCTTAACTGGGAACTAGGGAAAAGAAGAAAGCTTAATTTTGCTTAAAAATCAGGTTTGTGATTTTTACTGAAATTTTTAAACTTTTTATGAAATGAGGTAAATTTTACTTTAAATTAGAAACAATGATATCTTACATGTATTTAGATTTTTCCAGGGCTCCTGTATTGGGAAAGCCTGTTATTTAAGAGATTAATGAAGAGCTTTGTTCTGTGTATGTTCCCCATCCCTTTGTGGCATATGCTGCATTTTTGTCTTGATTTTTTCCCCAAAGCACACTCTTTCCCTTGGATTGAATTTATGATAGTGCTAGTAAATGGTTAACCCTGGTGGTGTAGTGGTTACGCATTGCGCTGTAATCTGCAAGGTTGGCAGTTTGAAACCACCAGCTGCTCCTGGGGAGAAAGATGGGACTTTCTACTCCTATAAACAGTGAAACTGAAACGAGGTAGTTCTACCTTGTCCTGTAGGGCTGCTCAGTGTCAGCATTGACTCCATGGCAGTGAATTTGGTTTGGTGACTAATAGTTAACTTAGAGTAAGAAGCATTACAGCTAAGAAATTCACGAGTTCATATAATTTTTAAACTTGTATGTAATTTTTATTTTTTAATACTGAAATTTGAATATAGTCAATAATATTAACATGGTATTTCTGTATTGATATTTTTCCCTGAAATAATAGGATTTGTATTTCCTTTTAGAAAATTCCATTTAATTTGTTTAAATCCTTAACTTAGAGACTTAACAGCTTACAAACATTTGCCATTCCAGGCTCTATATTTCTCAGTATCCTGTCAGGGTTTCTTTACCCCTTTCCACTAGCCTTATTTCTTGTTTGTCTGGTAAGTATATAAAATAAATTTGGTGGAGCCTGGGGTAAAAGGGACCTGATGTCATGGAGTTCAGGAAGGAAAAAAATGTTTTGAAATTCATTGTAGTAGCAATTGTACAATACTGTTTGATGAGATTGAACTACGGAATGATATATCCATATTAACTCCCAATAAAATGGTTTTGAAAAAATAATAAAATACAATTGGAAGAAAATAGCTTTAAATGGAATGATAATTATCTTAGTCTCAGTTTTATGCTAGCACACTCAAATTTAATGTTAGATCAGTCTTCAGAGAAGTGTGTGTGTGTGTGTGTGTGTGTGTGTGTGTGTGTGTGTGTGTGTTCTGTAGAGCCCTGCAATACTTTCTTTAGCTATTGTAGACTTGTTGCTGGGGCAGCAAAGGCGGGAGGGGAGGGTGGTGGTTCATACATAGTAATTAAAAATAAATTGGCTCTTGAAATTTTATTTTTAGACTAGAGGTCAACATAAAACTATTTAAGCATTAACTATCAGTCAGTCTCTAAGTTTAATCATGAGTGTCAGTTTGTTTCAGTTAATCAGTCTCTTCAGGATTTAGTCTGAGAAAGGACTGGATTCCTCTCTACATGGAGATGTCATTGCAGCGTATTCTCTCCATTCCCTACAAGAAGTAAACTCGTTGGGTGCTTGTTTAGGGGAACCTATCCGTGCATAATGTGGAAAAATCAAAACTATTGCTCGTTGTTTTTCAGTGTTCTGGACTGGGTGCCTCGTTCTGTTATATGCTCTCCTATTTAGTTGGGAGACCAGTTGTATACAAATACCTCACAGAGAAAGCAGTGAAATGGTCACAACAGGTAAATGTGTGTTTTAAAGTTATTTCACTTTACTCTTTGGCTGTCTGAGGGGTCAATGTAGGGCACCTACCTAAAACTCAGATTCTGGCTTTTAATAAATATATCTGTCAGGTAAATAAAATATTCATAACAATTTCCATATTTATAATGATGTTTTAATTGTTTAGTCATGGTAAGTTCATTCAGAACTGAAAATTCAAAGTGTCCATGTAAAGGAATCACATATTTGCATACTACCTCATGTTAGTACAGCATACTGACATAGTGCATCAGCTCCTTTAATGCATGTGGTCCATGGAAACCACATCATGCATGGGCCATACAAAATTATCAACTTAGAAATTAGCCGGCTGTGTTTGGTCAAACATTTAATTAACTCACCCTAATGTGATGGCAGGAACTGCTTCTCTGTGGTGAGAGGCGTGTGATGTTGGCTTTATATGGCCCATGAGCTGGTTGTTCCCCACCCGCATTAACGCAAGGTCTAGAATCTCAGATTTCTAGTTTTGCAATCTAGTTTTTCCCACTATACCACACAGCCACTGACTATTAAAATAGTGGCATATGTATGGTTTCTTTAGAATGACAATTTTCTTTTATGTGAGTACATTAGTCACTCAAAGGAAATATAAGCAATAATTTGTGCTTATATTTATAATCATCCAGATAATTAAAAATGATCTTTGAAACTTGTTATAGCAATTGTGAATTACTGTCTTTGTGATACATATACTGTGGACTATTCCCCACCCCGCCGCCTTTGGAACTGGCTTTGCTAATGTGCTACATGAGCCTTTTATGTTGCAGGAAACTTGGAGGCAACAAAAAGTTGGCTGCTTTGATGTGTATAACTTGTTTCTGGTTATCAAATATGTTTAATCTTGGCATTTCAGGTGTAAACTTTACTGGTCTCATCTCATTTTATATACAGTACCTCTAATGAGCATTTAATAAATCATTGTTTGGGTTTTTTTGGACTTAAGGGGATCTTTATTGATGCTGTCTCAGTCTCCACCAGGGATGGGGTGTCTCTGCCCCCCCAGGTGTTCCTAGACTTGCTATCTCAGACACAGGGAGCCTGCTCTCCTCTAAGCAAAGCTTGGGAAGCAGAAATCATTGTTTTTTAAGTACCTTTTATGATCATTTCTTTTGAATAAGCTTGATCATTTCTGTTGTATGAATTATCAGGTAAGGATTTGAAACAAAGTATATAATTTTCAAGATTGGCTTTATCTTGCTAATTACTTTCTCATGTTTTATGACAGGTTGAACGTCATAGAGAGCATCTCATTAACTACATTATTTTTTTGAGAATAACACCATTTTTGCCTAATTGGTTTATTAATATTACTTCTCCTGTGATAAATGTGCCGCTGAAAGTTTTTTTTATTGGCACTTTTCTAGGTAAGGCCTTTCATGTACTCTGTCAGAACTCACTGTGTACCACTGGCTGAAGGAGGGAGAATGTGCTATGCAGACATGCACGTACCATGGCAACTCAGTCTGGGTCACAGTGCTTGGCCTGTATGCATATGGGTTCAGAAGGATTAGATAATGTTGATTTAGGATATTTGTTTTACCTATGGAACTAGCACATTCACGTGGATATTATTGTAATTCTATAGAATTAAGTAGAACTTTTTAAACTCAGCATTCTCCTTTAGTGGAGGGAAAATCCTGGACACCTCTCCCTTACCCCCATCCCAATAGGGAATGAATAATTCAACAGACCTTCTCTCTTTTTTTTAACTTTTAATTGTGAATCATCATTTTTTTATTGAATGACTTCTCAAACCTCCCAGTGACTTGCACTGTACTCCCCACGCCCCTCTTTTTCCGTCTGCCTCTTGTTGCGTGTTATGCCCCCCTCGCCTACGCTGCAGAGCTCTGGTTGCAGAACGACTCTCACTTTGGGGGTGATTTTCCTATATTCAAGTGCTGAAATGCTGTCACTTTCATTAGAGGGTTTGTCTTATTTTTTATTTTATTGACGTCAACACTGTGAGGATTACTAAAAAAAGAATGGGTTATCTAAGATCAACCAAAAGTTTTGCTTTCAGGGAACTTCTTACACGTAATTGAAATTGAATTATTTTGGGAATTCTCATGGTTCTTAATAAGACTTTTTTCTTTCTGAAATCCGTTGATTTGTTTAGATACCAACAATATAAGCAGATCTTTCCTGTTTTGAGTATTCTCATAAATTAAAGCTTAAGTTCATACTTGGAAAATAGATATTTTTGAAAAAGAATAGTCAAAATCAATTATTGCTATTCATGGACAAGCTTAAAAATTATTTCATCGGCAATTTGGGCTTTTTAGAAATAATGTTTATATGGAGTCAGACAATAATTTGTGTCCCTGACTCCTTATTGTTCAAGTAAAATAGCTGGAGATTAAATTAATTTCAGATAGACAAAAATAACTTTTCCAATTACATTGATTTGGGGTTTTTTTGTTTGTTTGTTTATTAATTTATTGGGGCTCATACAATTCATCACAATACATAAATCAATTGTGTAAAGCACATCTGTACATTTGTTGCCCTCATTATTCCCAAACTTTGCTTTCCTCTTGGGTTCCCGGAATCAGCTCATTTTCCTTTTTTACCCTCCCCCTCCCTTCCTCCTCCCCTCTGATTTGGTTTTTAATGAAATGTGGTCATTCTGTGTGTACACGTGCATGACATGCTTTTCTTAAGTACTCCATTGTGGTATATCTAATGCCACATCATTTTTACTTAAGCATAGTTTTTTAAGAATAAGCAACAATATGCTAAACTACTATTGACTATGAAGTTTGTTTCCAGCATTTTTACATAATATTTTGATGCGCATCCATCAAAATAGATCATTATTGATATATGCACACTACTATTTGCTAAAGTTGAAATTGCTAAATTAGAGCACATCCCCCTTTTTAAAGACTATTGATATTTTAGGTATTTTCTAAAATACTGATATTTTCTTGTTTTTTAATTTATTATTATGAATTTTTTACATTCTTTATAAGGCTTTATGTTTTTTTAAGATTTTTAAAAAATTTCCAAAATGGAAAGAGCTCTGTTTTCATAGTAAGCTTATGTACATAAAATGAATGTGTACTAACAAGTGACCCTTCTCATGTTTTCATTTTTATTTCAGGTGTCGCCCCTCCCTCTTTTGTCGCTATCAAAGCAGGAACAACACTGTACCAGCTGACCACAGCAGGGGAAGCTGTGTCTTGGAACTCAGTATTCATTCTGATGGTTTTGGCAGTTCTGTCCATCCTGCCAGCCATTTTCCGCAAGAAACTGAAACAGAAATTTGAGTAAAAAATCATCTGGATTTTAGTTCTCTCACTATCATCACCATCATCTCAGGATTAGCAAGTGTTTCTACCATTTATATTTTAAAGTCACCCCTTAGGCAATTGAACCGAAGAATTTGTAAAAATAAATTTTTCTATCAGTTTATGGGACAAGAGGGAGAAAAGAGTAAAAACGGAAAGTAATAGACTATGGAAAATGCTATTAATAGTTACGTCGAATATCTTTTAAATTATATTTCCTGAACTAGCCTTATATACATACTCATTTGATTATTTAATAGTCCTTTTTTCTCTTATCTATATCCCTGAAATTAATGTAAAGAAACAAAAGATTCAGGATTCTTAAAATATATGTAGTTGTAGCTAAGATTCGTCTTTCAGAATATAAACTTTAAAGCTTAAAAGAGATTTTACATTTTTCTTCCTCTTTTTACCTTTGAGGTACTAGATTTATTGAGAGCTTGTATGTTGGTAAACCACTGGATATGCAAAGGATTTCAAGTTATGTCTATTTTGTCAGTTGGGGGTTATTTCTCTTTTAAGGACCTTAACATGGATTAGTTTATTTATAGTTCAGACTATTTTCCTCCTATTATTTGGAATTCACACTATTCCACTGTGCATATAGAGTGGAGATGATATAACTATTATATTTGGTGTTGATAATTTATATTCAGATAATATTTTGTTATACAGTGCTCCTTTAATATCGCAGAAGGGGATCTAAAAAGCATTAGTTTTATGTGTTAGGTTAATTCCACTACTTTTTATTTTGAAACAGGAACTTATAGGTAACACAGTTCTCTTAAGTGGTTAAATATAATTGCTGGTCCAATGACAGTAAAAGTTACCTCATTTATTTATTAGTGGTTATTAAGGTATGTATTAATGTAATTGTTTTTATGCATGATATCCCTAAAAGAAAACATGACTTAATTTCTCTTGATGCTTTTTTGTTTAGGGCTTCCCAATTTAGTGTGTTTACTCTTTCTAATTCACAGGTAGAATTAACTTCTTATATGATAACTAATATATTTAAATAGTCTTAGGAAAAAACTTTATAACTTTTATTGTTTCATGGTTTTGCCCTTGATTCTAGGGCATCACCAATCTAAACTCTGTCCACTTTACCTTCACTGAAGCCTGTTAGTATGTTGAAAAGTACTTTGCCTGTGGGAAAAAGCCTTGTATGTTTTTATTGTGAGACATATGATCATCCTCAAAGCCGGTTTCTATGATATAATGTGGATTAATTCATTATTTTTTCTATCACAGTATTAACAAAATGGTTCTATTGTAAATACAAAGAAAATATATTGATTAATATACTATTCTTATGTCACTTGGTCTTTGGTGTGAAATTATTTCTAGCAAGGCTTCCTTCCTTTTTTCTTGACCAGAGACTGAGTGGCAAAGCTTTTGTTATTTTTGCAAATGGACCTAAGACATAACTCTTTTTGGACAAAATTCACTAAATATTGCCATGTACGAATTTTATCAGACTTTCAAAAATACAAGCTTGAACTCAGAGAAACATCCTAAGTATCCGATGCTGTGCACACTGTGCCTGCTCTCTGTTCAGTGTTCTCCCAGTCCTTTCTGAAGACCGCCGTTTCTGTCCCACTCCAGCCCCACGTTAGAAAGCTGTAGCTGCTGCTCTGAGGGACATTTCCCTCTCCCCTAAGTGAGTACCCCGTCTTTTTAGACTCATCATCAGTGACTGTAAAAACAAACAACAGGCTGTACCCATAATGTAACTAGTAGCCTGCATATAATGTTTTACAGTCTTGGCCTGGAGCCAAATGCAAATTTAAACTTTAGTTTGGAAATTACATAAAAATAACATCCAGCAATCAAGCTTGTTTGTACAGGGGTCCTTGAAAATTTGTAGAAGAATTACATTATCTTTGAATTCCACTTTTCCATGTACTTTCTGAAGTCCCCACGTGTGGGAGTGCGGTGAACAAGCTAGTTGGAAAGCTTGAAGCAAAAGAAAGCAGCTGTAGCCTCCTTAGTCACTGGCCTGTCTATGGAGCACCGCTGCTCCATGAAATATGAAATTTAACGGTTGTGCTGGAAAAAGTAAAAGGTGTAGTATTTGGGATTTGTTTCATATATATATGTATTTTTAACAAATCCTCGTTATTTTATTTTTAGATAGATCTTTCATCTCTAACATTTTATAATTAAACACATTTCCACCAAGGTAAATTGGCATAACATATTCCTTAGACAGTATTCTATATTCTACTTTGTTGAGTAGCAACTTGTCTTAAAATCTTGTCAGCAGATAACTATTTGTCTTTCCTTATACAAAACAAAGAGGTGTAGAAAAGGAAAGACACAAGAAAATAATTAGTCCAAAGGACTAACAGACAATGTGAACCCTGGATTCCATGACTTTGAGATCAGAAGAATTGGATGGTGCCCTGCTTCCGCTTCTGACCTCTCTGAAAGGTATCACAATCAGCAGTCCTGGATAGGGTAGTAGAAAAACATGGACAAAACTCATAGTAAGAGGTCATACATGTATTTTTAAAAGACATTTTCTTGAATTAAAATATATTCTATGGAAATTGCTTTTTGTTTTGATTGAATTTTTTAATTTTCTGGCAAATATATGTGGCAAAACATTGTTTCTACATGTCCCATTTAAGGACATTGATTATATTCTAGTTATACAACTATTCTCACTGAACTTTTCTGAGTTGTAGCTCTCTCACTATCATTAATCCACTACCCTAAGATTTAAGTTGCTGCTGTCAGTTTGATCACATTTAAAAAACAAACCACCAGACTTCCATTGAGCAGACTCCAAGTCAGCAGCTGTGTAGAGCAGAGTAGAGCTGCGTTTCCAAACCAGGAAATCTTACTGGGAAGAAAACTTCCCTTTATCCCATGTGAACAACCAATGTGGTTTCAGAATAATGACCTGGCAGTTAACAGCCCAACTTTTTTAGTAATTAGCCCTAAAACACTGAGCGCGACGTTCTCATACCATTTAATTAAAATGTGTGGTACCAAAATTATAAAACTTTTTTTTGAATCATTTTATTAGGGGCTCATACAACTCTTATCACAATCCATACATACATCAACTGTGTAAAGCACATTTGTACATTCTTCTCAAAACATTTCCTCTCCACTTAAGCCCCTGGCATTAGGTCCTCATTTTTCCCCTCCCTCCCCGCCCCCCCCCCCCCCAATTTATAAAGCTTTTGGAGCCAACTATGATGTTGACGAAATCATCACACTTTACTAGTACAAATGCATACCGCTATATATTTTGTTTATTACATATATTGATAACTATGAAAGTAAGGAATAAAAGCAAAAAAAACGTTTTCCTGAAATTAAAAATTCAGGTGTTAATGGAGGTTAAGCTACCTGTGATTTAAAGTTTAGAGATCTTAGGGCAATAGTCTCATCCAGCCTTCGAAGCTCCAGGACGTCTGGAGTCCATGAGAATTTGAAATTTCTGTTCTGCACATTACCCCTTTTGATTAGGATTCTTCAATAGCCTTTGGTTGAAATTGTAGGGGGAGGTATCTCCCTTGAGGGCGATCAGTTGCCAAACTGCAGTGGGCCCTGCTCCCAGGGACAATGGGCAGGCTCCTGTAGGCAGAGTTTATACCCTACTGATCATGGTTCCTATGGAAACCCAGGGAACAGGTCAAAGTTAAGCTGCCATCCTAAATCTAGGATCCACCCATCTTGTTACATGTATACCCCCAATCCCTCCTCTTCCTATTGGGCGTATGTCCCTAGACCACCCCCTCTCATTGCTGTATAACCTATAGTGCAACCCTGTCCTGTGACATGTCTACCTGTAATTAGTGGGCTTGCACCCCCAAAGGTATATAGGCCTGGGTCAGCAATAGAGAGCTCTCTCTGGCCTCTCCTCGAGCCCCCTCTTGCTTCTCTTCCCCCTCTCATCTCCCATCCTCGCTCCCTTATTCCCTTTCCCTCCTTCCCTTCCCCCTCTCTCCACATGGTCCACCAAGCTGGGCTGAGGTGAGCAATGCTACCATGTAATGTGTATGACTGCATTATTGTTTCTCTCATGCTCTTGATGACTTTAATATATATACCTATCTCAACCGTACAATTGTACATTACTGAACCCGAGGAGCCATCCTGTTCCAGGTATTTTTAAGCAAAAAGACTTGATATAGGCAATTTTAGGTGTTTACAAAATTATTGGAAAGTTTGGAGGAACAGGCTTTTGGCTGAACCTCCATGGATAACTACAAAGCTCCCAAACAGACACAATTTTGTTCAATAAGTTACCACTCACTGTGACCCAGGCCTCAGGGACATTGACTCTAAACTAGCCCCGGAGCCTCTGTTGTTTCCTGTGCAGGACAAGAATATGCTCTCTTTGCCACTGTGATTACAGCACAACTCCACACATCATCTACAAAGCTGCAGATAGACCCTGGATTCCCTACGGCACTATCTGCCTGTGGAAAAAAGACAAAAGTGGCAGGAAAATCTCTTTGTCTTATGTTCAAAAAGACAAAAGTGGCAGGAAAATCTCTTTGTCTTATGTTCAAATCTTTTGCAAGTACATCGAATTTGTGGAACCTAATTTGTACCCAGAACTCTAATGTTTGGAGTTGTTAGCTTTCTGCTCCTCCGTACAGAAGTAATCAGGGCCAGCTACACTTGCTAGGCAAAATGAAAATGCAGAACCCTTCTTTAAGTAGCAGGACTTCTTCAAGTAACTCAAGGGACTGAAATAGATTTTCTTTTCATGGAATTTTAATATTTCTATTTAATGTTCCAAGTAAGGACAAAAATAAAAATTTTAATTATTAGTATGAATTTTATCATTCATCTTTATATTGTGCAATGCCTGCTTTAAACACAAATATAAAAGCATTTAACTTGTATGGTGAATCACCAAAATTACACAATTCTATTTCATAGGTCTTATGTGCATCGGTCTTTCATTCTTATAAGAACAATGGAAATTCTATAAAAAGTAACTCAATTAAAAAAATTGTACTGTATCTACAACACATTTAACATTTCCTCCCTTTCTACATGTACACACCGCTCTTGAGTCATTTCTTGGTATGTGCACCTACCAATACACCTGCTTACTGCAAAAGAAGAAACTGAAAGGAGGAGAAACCATGGGATGCCCTCTTTCCTTCTCCGTCATTTTCTTTCTTTTTTTTAAATCATTTTATTAGGGCCTCATGCAACTCTTATCACAATCCATACATACATCAACACATTTGTACATTCATTGCCCTCATCATTCTCAAAACATTTGCTCTCCACTTAAGCCCCTGGCATCAGCTCCTCATTTTTTTTCCCCTCCCTCATGAACCCTTGATAATTTATAAATTATTATTTTGACATATCTTGCCCTGTCCGATGTCTCCTTTCACCCACTTTTCTGTTGTCTGTCCCCCAGAGAGAAGGCCACATGTAGATCCTTGTGAAAGGTTCCCCCTTTCCAACCCACTCTTCCTCTACACTCCCAGTATCACATTCACCACTGGTCCTGAAGGGATCATCCGCCCTGGATTCCCTGTGTTTCCAGTTCCTATCTGTACCAGTGTACATCCTCTGGTCTAGCCAGACTTGCAAGGTAGAATTTTGATCATGATAGTGGGGGGTGGGGGGAGAGGGGAGGAAGCATTTAGGAACTAGAGGAAAGTTGTGTTTTTCATCGTTGCTACAACTCACCCTGACTGGCTCGTCTCCTCCCCGAGCTCCATCATTTTCAATACAGGGAATTAACACCAATAAACAAGGATGCGGTAGAAGTCTTTGGTCATTTGTGTTTCCTAAAATGCCATTCATTGCCTTCTTTTCTGTATTAGAAGCAAGTTCTCCATGGAACAGAAATCGAGGGTCAATCTTGATTATGCAGTGGTAGACATAAAATGCTTACCTTCTGCCTGAAGTCTTGCTAAACTACACCGCATGGGTCCACCAAAATTCTCTGCTCACACAGCATGGCAAATGCCGCATGGGAATAGGACAGCAACGGAGCTACTATGCATAAACCTTTGCTTATACAATACACATTCTCCTTTGTCCTGCAGGACTCCACTTACAAAATAAGCTCAAAGATCACATGATTAAGGATATCAAGTCTGTAACAACAAAACATTGTAACCAACTATGGAGTGCTGCCTAACTATGGGGCCCTGTGTAAAGACGGGCTGCCCAGGCAGTTGGCTGGGCATAATAGGCGCTGGGAATAGATGCGGATGCCCACCAGTATAGAGGAAGTACAAACCGTGAGTGGCTGTGGAAGACAGCCTGCTGAAGGAGAAGAGGGAAAGCAAGGCACAGAATGAAGGCCTGTGTTGAGGCAGG